GTGTTATGTTCATGTCTTTATCCACACCGCAAATGAACACAAGAAGTTGAGGTGGAACAACTGTCAAGCGACTCATCCATTGCAAATGAAGAATGGCGAAGCTTGCTTGCATTTTTCGCTATTTGATTCACGATGTCTGCAACACGGCGGCAATGGTATTTACACCCTAAGCTACATTTTCAAATTATTTTGAATTTTCTGTGCAAAGTTCCCCAGTCACCTCCAACAAACATTTATTTAGTGGACAAAAAGATCGTCGCGGGCCGGATGAAATGACCTCGCGGGCCGCATCCGGCCCGCGGGCCGTAGTTTGGAGACCCCTGCTAACTAATCATGATCTTGATCTCTATAATACAACATCGTTCAATTAAATCTGATATGCCTCAGCCTTTTACCTGGTAAATCATAACACGCCATTTATTACACGGCTTTGATTAGCAATTACCTTACAAGCTGTGGGTCATAAATTGGCCTGACATCTCCCAGGAAAGGGCTGGCTATTTGTTTCACCTACCACTCGATGGAAGGGACATGTCAGCTCTAACAGGACAACACCATTGTGACCTTTCACCTCTAGAATTAAAATCAATATAACTGACCTGTAATTTATTAGAGTCGTATGTTAAGTTTTAAAAAACAACAACAAAGAGCAGATAAACACTATATCTGCCCTGTAGGTAGTTAGGTCTGAAAGTCTGATTGTACTTTTCAAGAGAGTATATAACTCTGTTAAATCATTAATCTAACTTGAAAAAGCTACGTTATTTTAATGAATACTTTGCAGTTTATCAGAGGCGTAGCGACCCTTCCCGGCGCCCGGGGACAAACTTTCAATTTGGCGCCCCCTTCTGAGTAAATTTTCGATTTGCACCCCCCCCCCCTCAAACTGTTTATAAGGCAAAAATCCAGCTAAAATTACATTTTAATTTGTTTTCCAATCCATTTTGGCGCCACCTAAGGTCGGCGCCCGGGGACATATGTACCCCCCTGCCCCCCCCCCCCCCCCCCCCCATCGCTACGCCTCTGCAGTTTATTTCCTTGGTATCGCCCCCATACATAATTTTTTCTGGTGCTTTCCGCACCCTACCTCCTCGCTCCCCCTCCCTCATGCGAGATACTGCTTTAGCGTTAAATTCAACTAAAGAGTGAGGTTAACTACCCACTCGTGATCTTGGCAGTAATTAAGTAAGATTCCACGGTCAAGGTACTGTCTCCCACCTGTCTACAGTGTCAGGTAAAGTCCAGCTGATGCTCACTGTACTAAAAGCACATTCCGGGCGACCCTCCAGCAAAGTACTCACCTCCCCACAGCGGCACTTATTCTCGCCACATGCTCGTCGTCTAGTCACGAGTTGCGGCGCATTAGACGCTACATATCTGGCAAGGAACGAGACTAGGGGGCGAGAGTCAGAATATCATGTAACGTCTCTAGTCTGGTATTTGACGACTCGTGTTCCGTCATAACGAAAAGCTCAGCAAATTTTATGTATGTCTGTGAACATAGAGCCTTAATACACGGCCCATATAGAGTGTTACTGTTTAGTTTAAACATTCCATATATTGGATTACTACTTTGTTTATTCTGGCGTTTACTTTAAATAACATTAAGGCTTAAGAAAGTTACAAGAAGAAACATTTAAGGCTCACATTTACCAAAGGTAACAGCCCCCCCCCCCTGCTCCCACTGCTTCAAATATTGCCACAGGTAAATTCAAGCCAAAACAAGCACTCAGATGCCCTCGATCCTGCCTCGGCTATTTATAGCCCCGCCGAGAATGTCATCGTTATGCAATGACAAGTGACACGCGCCCGTGTAATCAAAATGGCGTTATTCGGCAGCGGTGTCGCGGGGCTACAAAACCTCTTTTGTCTGTCAGCGCTGCTAGCCATTATCTCACCCATTATCTCACCCATTATCTCATCCAACGCCGGGCCTACCTCCCAGTCTTTCACCTCCCCCCACCCTCCAATTTACGTATTAACCCACCGTCTATTCCCCCCCCCCCCCTTTATGTGTTATCCTACCACCAGTCAGTGCATACCAGAGTTGGAACATCTCAGCACTTTAGTAGGAACGCAGACAACCATTGTTTTAAGGATTGTAGGAAAAAAAGTCACAGGAAAAAAAAAACACAGGAAAAAAAAACACAGAAAAAAAGTCACAGGAAAAAAAGTCACAGGAAAAAAAGTCACAGGAAAAAAAGTCACAAATATATATTTGCATGATATTTGTTAATACTTTTATGTATTAAATATTTAGAGAGTGCAAATTAACTTAGGATTAATTAAATGTAATGTAATGTGTGTAGGCTGTATACGCATGGGAATTTTTATAATTCATCTAAAATTATTTATTATGAAGTATGTAGATTGTAATTATTTTAAACTTAAGATTAGTAGCATTTAATAGAATGCTCCAAAGTCCACGTTTTTTTTCATCTTGTTTTTTTTTAAATACCAATATTAAATTACCGTGAAATGGTAAGTTCATCTGACTTGCTGCCCTCAACTCATGGCAACAATAGTTATGTTTAGTTCAACCACCTTTACTGCCCACATTTATCACGCTCATTACATAACAAAACTTAGGATCAAAACAGAAAGCCGACAAGGTTCAAAGGCTGTAATTGACGCTTAACGTCAACAACACACAATATGTTCGGACAATGCCTACTGAGGAGAGGCCGACCAGAGAATAGCCTACGGCAAAATGTGCCTAAATTTCTTTTATAATTAACTTTTCTACCGCGTATTTAACTAAATACGTAACAAAAGTTGAGATTGTTGTGTTAATTATCTTAGACTATTTTTACTTACAATTGTTATACATCATAATGCTTTTAACGTCTATAAACAATTTATGCTATAAAAAAATACAGCCCACAACAACAAACATACACAATTTTACAATTCTTAACAAATTAATAAAAATATTTCTAAAAAGATTTTTGTGACTTTTTTTCTGTGACTTTATTTCTGTGACTTTTTTTCCGATAAAATTTTTCCACTGTGACTTTTTTTCTGTGACTTTTTTTCCTAGCAAAAACTGTGACTTTTTTTCTGTGTTTTTTTTTCCTGTGACTTTTTTTCCGTTTACCGTTTTAAGTGCTGTTTGTTTTTTCCTCTCTAGACGTGTCTGACAAATTTGACATGCAAGGATTTGATAGCGGTGCGCCTGTTTCTGATAAGCTAATGTGGAATTGTGGGAAGTGTTGGGTAAGGGGGGGGGGGTAGGTGGGTGTGAAGAATAACTTCTCTGAATGGCTCATTGTAAAATGTACATAATAGGTCAACATTGATGATAAATGGGGGTAGCGGTCGGTTGTCCTAGGTTCACGTCCAGTCTATTTTATTGTCCAGTCTAGCTTAGGGTTGTGGCTAATTAATATCTTGATCTGGATGTTTTTGACTTAGGACTAAATATCTTCAAGTTCTCTTTGCATGTTTTGGCCATGGAGGCAGGCTAACTTTGTATGCTTTAAAATCTCAGTATTCAAGGAAATTTGGTGTTTAGCGCAGATATTTGAAGTCTTGTTAGCAGGTTCTTTGATGGTTCATACAGTTATTTTAATCTTTTATGGATTATTCAATGTTTCATCCATATATTTTAGTAGTTAGCAGGTGTTTTTTTATAGTTAATACAGATATTTTAGTTGTATATAGACAGTTTAATGTTTTATCCATATATTTTAGTAGTTAGCAGATTCTTTGATCTGTTATACAGGTGTGTTATGGTCTGAATTAACAGCTGTGTCTTACCCCAGCAATTGCTGACTCCAATGTGTTCTTTGGGCGTGATCTGCTTGCTTTAAAATGTGACACCATTAATTATAAAGCACACACTTCCCTAGTTTGACGCATAGATCCCTGTATAAATTTAACACCCCACCAGGGCCATCATAATATGTAGCTGTCTGCAGGTTTCCAGTCGGTGGTTTTGTGTGTCTGCGCGAAGAAGAATAATTAGCATACTCTGCATGCTTTAGGGGTCATGCGTGAAAAAATTACGTGAAAAAAAAAATTACGTATGGGCTTGTCATAACGTGGGCTAAAATGTTCTCGTAGGGTTTGCTGTTAGTCGCTGTAATTGTCCCATTCTCACGGTAGTTATGGTGCATGTGTAATCGCAGGTTATAGCTATTTTTACTCCGGTGATGTCGTAAATTTGTCACACTAATTAAACGCCTCTTTAATAATTCTGTCGGTTTTGTTTTTGGTTGGCATATTTTTAGAATTTTTGTTTAGACTTCATGAACTATGAAAAAAAAATACACCTCTCGCGAAATGACACATCAATACCACCATGGTGCCCAATCACCCCTCTCGATATGTTTACCAACATTCGCTAAGTGGTGTAATTAATAAATTACTTCCTTCATTGTGTGTTGTGGATGGTGTGAGTAGATAACTCACAAAACATTTCGCTGTTTCTTATCTCTCTTGTGATTAGTAGGCTACTATTCCTTAGCTGGTTGATTGTGAAATAGTATCGTGGTTCGCTTTCATGGCATCCTAATGCCTTTGGTGTTGAATAAATGGTAGCATGTAGGATGAAATCCTAGCGGAAAAAACATGTCTTGGTGTGCAAGTCATTGGTTAAGACCTAGACAGTTACGGTGTTAAATGTAATGTATAACATTATTTAGAAATAATTAAGTCCCTACTATAAATTGATTTAAAAATGGGCCCTAGACACACTCCGCTATCACCTGTGTATTTTGATTGAGGTTTAATCATTATAAACGAACATCTGTTTAAACCCACACGTTAACACACACGAACCAGCAGTAAAAGTTAATTATTTTATAGTTACCCCCCCCCCCCCCCCCATCTCCCCCAAACCAAATTGAATGCAGATCTGCAGTGTGCCATGTGCGCATGCACAAAACCTGCATCATTTCGTCCAATGGACTCGCCAACTTCTGCGACAGTGCTGAAAAATTGCCGGGGCCTAGCGAGCACTCAGGCAATTTATCGAACTCGACTGCGCGTTTCGTCTAGCGGAGAACGAAAGAAAAAAAAACAAGAGAAAAACGAACTGGTTTGTGTGGATGCCGCCCAAAGCTTATCATTTGCGCTTCTCGTGACAACATGTTCGTGTCGCTGTGTTCTCCCTATCTGCAAGTTGTGTTCTTTACAGGACTCGGTTCTAACTGCTCAATTAATTAACTCGAGGTTTTAATTAATTTGTGAAATGTTCATTACATTGGAGATTTTAAAAGTGTTTTACTTAATTCCAATATAGCATGTTAGACTTTTTTTTTCGCATACACGGAGTACAATTTTAATACTTAGAAATGTGTTAATAAATAATAATTATGTAACCAATAAGTCACTTCACTTATATAAGCGTGGTACTTGTGGTATGTTTAGAGCTGTCTTGTTAAAGCAGGTCATGTTGTTAAATACTGACCTTATCGATTAATTAATGAGATCGATAGACCCAGACCAGCGGGGGTTTCTTTGTCACTGGACATCAGCTGTCTCGATAACGTTACACTAAAAGTTGTCTCAAACTTGCTGCGTGATTTAAGGTTTAAGTTAGGAGTATACATACGATTCAAATAGTAGGGCGTTATCTATCTATCCATTCATCCGTCTGTCTGTCTGCCTATTTGTCTGTCTGTCTGCCTATCTGTTTGTCTGTCATATATATATATATATATATATATATATATATATATATATATATATATAGGATATGGATAATGAAACATTGGTGCATACAAAGATACCACTTGGTGAGTTGATTAAAACAGCTGATGGTAACCGGGTCTGTCCGTGTGGCAATTATTCTGTGGCAGTCACGTGATGATGTATACAAGCTCACATGTGCTAGGTCTCGTTACTCATGCTGTACAGGAAGGGTCATGTGACTGTCAAGTGACACACCCCCTTTTCTCCCGTCTAATTGTGCTGCTGATTCTAGTGCTAGACCACCCTGGTGGGATGGATGATTGAGGTGGTATGCCCTAGGGGTGGGGGAGATGGTGGGGTGTGTTCTGGCAGACCAACCAATTATGTGGTGATGGTGGGAGTGACCTAACTGTACTGTCCTGCTTAGTACAATTTGTGTCATGTTTCTTGTTACTGGTTGAAAGCAGTCAGTAGTTGTCCTAAATTGTCTGGTCAGAAGTTAACGAGTAGCTCTCTCCTAAGTGGTGTGGTCAGTAGCTGTCTCCTTAGTTTAGTGGTCAGTAGTTGTCTCACAAGTGGTGTGGTCAGTAGCTGTCTCCTAAGTGGTGTGGTCAGTAGCTGTCTCAAAAGTTGATTGGTCAGTAGTTGTCTCAAAAGTTGATTGGTCAGTAGCTGTCTCAAAAGTTGAGTGGTCAGTAGTTGTCTCAAAAGTTGATTGGTCAGTAGCTGTCTCAAAAGTTGAGTGGTCAGTAGTTGTCTTCTAAGTTGAGTGGTCAGTAGTAAATTGTCTCAAAAGTAAAGTGGTATTGTCTATCACGTCAGTTCTAAAAGGTCGCATCATTTCACGGTAGTTCTTTATGGTGAATGTTTGTCACGTCTGTCGTCACGTCGGTTTTTCTCATAGAGTCGCCAACCGACCTCATTATGTGATGCTGTTTCATGTTCATAGTTCAAAGGCTGCCGTACATAATTAAGAACTCCCATAGCTGCTCATTAGCGCTGATTAGCCCGGGACTGAGGAGGTTTATGTTTATTCATCGAATCAGCTCGTTGTGAATTATTGATCTGTTATTGATCCCTGTGATAAGTGATCGTTCTGTGTAGCATTTACATAATTATATCTAGTTAAAGCTTCATTGCTAGGGTTGTAGCATTCATATGTAGCGTGATGGAGTGCTGCTTGATCTGCCTTGTACTGGGCTACATCAGCGTCTGTTTGTGTCTACTCAGCCCCTGTTTGTGTCTACTCAGACCCTGTTTGTGTCTACTCATCGCATGTTTTTTTCTGCTCAGCGCTTGTTTGTTTCTACCTAGTTCCTGTTTGTGTTTACTCAGCGCCTGTTTGTGTCTACTCAGCGCCTGTTTTTTCTACTCAGCGCTTGTTTGTTTCTACCTAGTTCCTGTTTGTGTCTACTCAGAACCCTGTTTGTGTCTACACAGCGCCTGTTTGTGTCTACTCAGCCCCTGTTTGTGTCTACTCAGTGCCTGTTTATTAGAAGCTAAATTATGGATAACTTTGTGAGTAAACCACAATCTTTGTATTTTGACAGTGGACGGGAAATCACCTGCTAAATGTGAACATTGTAAAGGGGTGTAAGCTAGATACATACTTTATTCCTAAGGTCTCTTAAATATGCTGCCTCAATCTCATAGATTGTGGCTGATTCTTGTTTTCGACGTGAGTACTTTTGATGTATTGAGCAACAGCACATGTTTTACATAAACACATATAAAAACATCGTCCGTACTTTGATGTGTTGAGCAACAGCACATGTGTTACATAAACACATATAAAAACATCATCCATCGACGTAGCATGATGGTGTGTGCAGCTTCTTGCCATCGTCACGTGGTACACATTTCTCTCACTCGCCGCCCCCTCGTTTACCTCCTCACGTGCACCTCTCGTGAATAATTAACACCAGCTTTTAATCAACTCGGTGTTTGTAGCGTCGACCGTATTAATCCGGGACGTCAGCATTTTGTTTTTCAAAACCTGTTGGGCCAGAATTACCAACATTTTTTTTTTAAAACCAATCCCTAATCCTTACAGCTTCAAACTCATTAGTTACCTTTGATAGACTACCTTCTACCTGTGAGAAATTGCAGCAGGGGTTTAAAGTAAAATAAATTCCCATTAATAACGTAATTACTGTTTTCAGCGACGTAGTTGTCCTACGGCTATAGACGCAATTTGTCTTAGCCGCCGATTTTCAAGGTTTCTTCAATCAGTGCGAAGGGAGACTATTCTGAAGTTTTAGAGTTATCCCCCCCTGACCTTCTTCGTGCTGGTAAACGCCGGTGATAAATAAAATATGAATAACATTTTCAAGCGTCCATTTCATGCCGCTATGTAAATGTACGTGGGCTGAACGCTTGAGTTATGGGCCCTAATTCGTTACGTTACGGTAGCTATAACAGGACAAGCTTGTACAAGCTGTTGTGTGTTTAGTGGTGTGTAGCCGAGGACGTGTTGACTGTTCATTTCTATTTGGTGGAGTTTATCCGGCTTTTGATTGCATTGTGGTTATTTCGTAAGGATTATATCAGATACATTTAACTGAGTGTTTTAAGGTGAGTATTATTTATTTTTTGCTTACTTGTATGTAAACATGATTTGTTAAATTTTCGTTGATAACATACATCTTAAATGTAGGTTATAGGATATCAGTTGATATCATACATCTTAAATGTAGGTTATTTTTATAGGATATCAGTTGATATCATACATCTTAAATGTAGGTTATTTTTATAGGATATCCGTTGATATCATACGTCTTAAATATAGGTTATAGGATATAGGGATGATATCATACATCTTAAATATAGGTTATATGATATCCGTTTATATCATACGTCTTATATATGGGTTATAGGATATCCGTTTATATCATACATCTTAAATTGGGGTTATAGGATGCTCAAGCAACTACTTCATGCTTATATTCTCAGTACTAGTCTCTAGATTATGATGTGTAATCAAGAATGAATTGTTCTAGGCAGTGGATCAGTACCTGTCATAGAGCTCAAGTGCCAGATAGCGCATGTGTAAACAGGCTTAAGTTCCTGTCATAAATTCACGATTGAGTCACATGCGAAGTGTCGGTGTCGTCGTGCCCTCGCGTGACTCTCGGTTTTACACTACAACCCACCCACACTCTCCCTCGTCAGTTGTAAGTGGGAGTGTTGAAATGTAAATACGATTTTAAACTGTAAGGAAAACATCTGTATTCTTGGCATAGTTATTGTTTACGTCATAGCGATGGCGCTGTCTTAAATCTGTTATTTCTAGTAATGTCCTATCATTTTTACTGTTTTCCAATCAAATACCTGCCTTTAATACTGTTATACTTGTCTTTTCTGTGTTTATTCCTGTCTTTACTGTTTTTGCCCCTGCCATAACATCTGTTGTCCCGATTACTGCCAATGACTTCTGCCATTAACTGTAGCTGTTGATTCGTGGCCTACACAGCCTACTTGCCTGTACTCTATCCTGCAGCCAACGTGCCTACACTCTATCCTACAGCCTACGTGCCTCTACTCTATCCAATAGCCTACTTGCCTCTACTCTATCCTAAAGCCTACGTGCTGCTATGGGAAAGCATTTTCGTCATCGACCTCAGCCGGTTAATTGTAATTATCTGTGACGTGAGTTAAATTAACGACACGCTCTCTGTTGGTTCACGACCTTTGCCTTGTTGATTTATTTCTGCCCACACGTGAAATGGCTTTTCCACCCTCACGCCCCCTCCCCCCATCCACATCCTCACCCACTTTGTGTTCACTCACATAAAATTCCCGATAAATCGTTTCATCCTTGATCTGGCTAAGCTGGGACATGCTGAGTTAGTGTTATATCGTATAGGCTGACATTGAGCCCAAGTGGATGGTTACGTGTAAAAGGGTATCTTAACTTCATTAATAAAGCTTTGACAGGTTTTTTTCTTCTTTGCCATCAACAACAAGATATGAATAATTTTATACGAGACCCCCATCATGAACACTATAATATGGCCTTGCACATGGGTTGGGTATACATTTTTTGTAACCCTCCTATACCTCGACCAAATGCACAACTGCCTACATTTTTGCAAATGGAGTTGCGTAAAAAATGTGCAATCCCACCATATCCATTTCGGTAATTTCCCCCCGTCCCCTCCCCCAACAACAACTACCCCTGTGTCGTTGTAATTATGTTGTTCATAGACCTGACTTCCGGCCAGAGGAGGCCATTTGTCACTGACCTAATTATTTACTATGGCCGATATTGCCTACTGGGGGGGGGGGGGGGGGGGAATTTGCAGGCTAACATCAAAGTGCCGGCCGCCTACATTAACGTAACATGACATTGTAACGAGAAAAGGTTGTTTTTTTGTTTTTATACTCGTTTGATCGCTACCGAATCGTCTAGTTTTTCGTTAACTGTAACATTGGACCATGGTGTATCGGTCAGGCGTTTATGTTGGTAAGGGTAAGACATTCAGGACTACGGTTATGGCCAGTGTTAGGATATCGATACCAGCTTCAATACGCACTGCCGTGTTGATAGTTGTACCTGTCAACACTGTCGGAAGAAACGGAAAGTTGGATATTATTTCAACAATGCCCCATGCTCTAAGTCTGACCCTCACCCTGGTTTTAATTCATATTTACTCTCTGGGCTTAATCCATAAACCGTATCCCTCTAATCTTGACCATGACCACAATCCTGACCCGGTTCCATTCTCAACCGTATGCTGTCGTCTCTCAGCTCAGGTGTCCATACAAACATCAACACACGATGTCCAAGTATACACATGTTGTAGTGATTTCATACCCACATAGTAGACCTCTGCCCATCCAAGTACAGGTACCAAGTGCATCAATGTGTGAGTACTTCGCACATCCACGTTTTAGTACTCTGCACACACACACACGTATGAGCACTATGTACACACACTTATGAGCACTATGCACACACACACGTATGAGCACCTTGCACAGGTACGTATTAACATGATGCACACACACACACACACACACACACGTATTAGTACTAAACATACACACGTATCAGCACAACGCACACCCACGAATAAGTACTTTGATAACCCACTTATTAGTAATGTCTTCTATACCCCCCCCCCCCCCCAGCAGAAACCCAGCTAAACCAACCGTCACCAAACGAAGCCCCCGTCACCAAAAGTGTGTAGTCGACTGTGACCTAACACACACGTACACTCGGCGCCGTGTTCACGTAAGCGAGACAAGATAAGAAGGTCACCATTTATCTCTTGCCGTCTGTGTAGTCTAGTGCCACCAGTAGCTGCAGCCATATAGCTGTCACAACTTTAATTGTCACAAGCTAGATCTATGTATTCACCCCACCTTCATCAGAGAAATACATTTTCGGTGATATGGACGAATATCGAACTTTAGAGATTCTCCCATAAAGTATTTATAGAGGCGGATTCTACATATTGTGTACATAGAACCACATTAATGTGACTTCCCCACTACACCCTTATAACTTCACAACGCTTATATAAATGTATCAACAGTCCGCTTGTGAATTCTATAGAAACTACACATCTCTTAAATCTGTTCAAGAGCTATTTAATCTTTATTCTTCTAGTTTTGCTAGAAATGTCTTAAAGTGAATTATGGGCTTAGTGTGTTGTGCTTTATTTGTTGACTTAAGAGCCTTTTAACTCTACGATGGTTTTTACTATGATATACGGCATAAGAACTTCGGCCTTTTCATTAATTCAACGCATTGGCTTGCTGTACTGTGTTGGTTTTGGTATTGTGATGATGGTTGTGGTGGTGTAATGTTGGTTGTGGTACTGTGATGTTGGTTGTGGTACTGTGATGATAGTTGTGGTAGTGTACTGTTGGTTATGGTATTGTGATGTTGGTCTTGGTACTGTGATGGTGGTTGTGGTACTATGTGTATCGTCGTGGTTACGATGTTGTGCTGATAGTAGTGATGTGATGTATCAAATTTGTTGCGGTGCTGTGTAGCCTGATGGTATTCATGCCATGCACCAAAAGCACGAAGCTGTTTAAAACGTATCTTACTTAGTCCGAGGTACTCATCAGAAGGTTTTTTTTCTGCGGCCTTATGTAGACTATACAACACGTAAACAGCTACAGGGACATTTTATAATAGCGTCCTATTTTTATATTCATTTAATTAACCCGTAAGTTGGAAGATATTTTGTGGAAAAGTTTCATTAAAAACCTTGCACACCTACCCAACCGTAACTGTGATCGTTAACTGACGTTAACCTACCAGGCGACCTGACTTTGAAGTTTGCCGCCATCATCTGACTTACATCCCAGCGATGACAACCATTCCCGCTATCTTCCAGTATGTGTGTTTTAATTACACGCCATTTAGCATAGCTGACTCTACGGCCGAGATGTTACACCCCCCCCCCCTCCCACATTAACCGTCACTGGCCAGACAAGCAGCGGCATCCTTGACATTGACCTTTCTTGTTTACTGGTCTTCCTAACCCGGCGCAACAGGTGCGAGTGGAAACCAGTTTTGTCACATTCTCCGCGTGATCCCGCGTGCTGTTTCTGCTGGTGTCTCCAGTGCAGGGAGGATCAGAGACTAAGTGGGACATGACAGGGTTTTAAATAATGGAGGCTGGGACATGGGGATTTGAAGTTTTTAACTTGAATATTCAACTGTGGGGTAATGGTATGTGAATGGTAAACGCCGTGAAAAGAAAGATTAATTTTGTATTTATTACTGGCATCTCCGTGTGACGATGCATAGAGATTGCCATTATAGCACTTTCTGTAGTACTCACTCTAGCACATTCTTAAGCACCAACACGGTTATCACTTTAGCACTCTCTATCTCTCTCGTTCTCTCCCTCTCTCTAGCACGCATCCTACTACTTTATCCTAAGCACACATTTACCCTTAAGATTAGTACTCAATCTAGCACATACTCTAGCAAACACTTTAGTACTAACTCGACACTCTCTAGTTTTAGCACCAACTCAACACCAACGCTAGCACTCTATCTAGCACAATCTCAGCACTCAACATAAGTTTTAGCACCAACTCAACACCAACGCTAGCACTCTATCTAGCACAATCTCAGCACTCAACATAAGTTTTAGCACCAACTAAACATCAACGCTAGCACTCTATCTAGCACAATCTCAGCACTAATCCTAACATAAGTTTTAGCACCAACTCAACACCAACGCTAGCACTCTATCTAGCACAATCTCAGCACTCAACATAAGTTTTAGCACCAACTAAACATCAACGCTAGCACTCTATCTAGCACAATCTCAGCACTAATCCTAACATAAGTTTTAGCACTAACTCAACATCCACTCCAGAAACCCAATCTAGCTCTAAATACCCTCGCAACCACAACCCCCCCCCCCCCCCCCCCCACACACACACAGTACTTAGACTAGCTAATCCTTTACCGCCCCTCTATGACACTTTTACCTTAAAGTTCAGTTTTTTTTCTGTTTCGTCATTCACGCCGTTGGTTTGTACAATCGGTTTGAATTTTTTTTAACAAATCAGATTACGACAAGAAAATTACATTACTGGCA